TCTTCAAAACCAATGAGAACAAAGACACAACGAACCAGAATCTCTGGGACACATTTAAAGCAGTGTCTAGAGGAAAATATATAGCAATAAATGCCCACATGAGAAGCAAGGACAGATCTAAAATTGAAACCCTATCGTCAAAATTGAAAGAGCTAGAGGAGCAAGATCAAAAAAACTCAAAACCTAGCAGAAGACAAGAAATAACTAAGATCAGAGCAGAACTAAAGCAGTTAGAGACACAAAAAACCCTTCAAAAAATCAATAAATCCAGAAGCTGGTTTTTCAAAAAGATCAACAAAATAGACAGACCACTAGCCAGATTAATAAAAAAGAAAAGAGAGAATAATCAAATAGATTCAATAAAAAACAATAAAGGGGATATCACCACAGATTCCACAGAAATACAAACCATCATCAGAGATTATTACAAACAACTCTATGCACATAAACTAGTAAACCTGGAAGAAATGGATAAATTCCTGGACACTTTCATCCTCCCAAGCCTAAACCAGGAAGAAGTCAAAACCCTGAATAGACCAATAACAAGGGCAGAAGTTCAAAAGTGGGTGAAATATATGAACAGACACTTTACAAAAGAAGACATACATAAGGCCAACAAACATATGAAAAACTGCTCATCATCACTGGTCATTAGAGAAGTGCAAATCAAAACTACATTGAGATACCATCTCACACCAGTTAGAATGGCGATCATTAAAAAATCTGGAGACAACAGATGCTGGAGAGGATGTGGAGAAATAGGAAAACTTTTATGCTGTTGGTGGGAGTGTAAATTAGTTTAACCATTGTGGAAGACAGTGTGGTGATTCCTCAAGGACCTAGAAATAGAAATTCTATTTGACCCATCAATCCCATTACTGGGTATATATCCAGAGGATTATAAATCGTTCTACTATAAGGACACGTGCACACGAATGTTCACTGCAGCACTGTTTACAATAGCAAAGACCTGGAACCAACTCAAATGCCCATCGATGATAGACTAGACAGGGAACATGTGGCACATATACACCATGGAAAACTATGCAGCCATAAAAAACGGTGAGTTCGTGTCCTTTGTAGGGACATGAATGAACCTGGAAACCATCATTCTCAGCAAACTGACACAAGAACAGAAAATCAAACACCATGTGTTCTCACTCATAGATGGGTGTTGAACAATAAGAACACGTGGACACAGGGAAGGGAACATAATACTCAGGGACCTGTCGGGGAGGTTGGGAGGCATTAGAAGGAATACCTAATGTAGCTGACAGATTGATGGGTGTGGCAAACCAACACGGCACGTGTATACCTATGTAACAAAGCTGTACATTCTGCACATGTACCCCAGAACTTAAAGTATAATATAAATAAATAAATAAACATAACAACAGGTGTTAGTGAGAAGATGGAGACATTAGAACTCTTGTACACCACTGGTGGTAATATTAAACGATGTAGCCGTTTTGGGAAACAGTACACAGGTTCACTAAAAGTAGAACTATCTTATGATTCAGCAATCACACTTATGGATATTTACCCAAAAGAATTCAAGACAGGATCTCAAAGAGGTATTTACACTCAAATGTTTATTGCAGTAGTATTCACAATAACTACAAGGCAGAAACAACCTAAACGTCCAACAATGATGAACAGAAAATGTGGGCCCGATGCAGTGGCTCATGTCTGCCATCTAAGCACTTTGAGAGGCTGAAGTCAGAGAATTGCTTGAGCTCAGGAGTTTGAGATCAGCCTGCGCAACATAGTGAGACCTCATCTCTACAAAATATAAAAAAGAGCCAGGTATGGTGGTTTGCCTTTAGTACTGGCTACTCAGGAGGCTGAGGAGGGAAGATCACCTGAACCCAGGCTCTCCAGGCTGCAGTGAGCCATGATGGTGCCACTGTACTCCAGCCTGGGCAACAGAGTGAGACCCTGATTAAAAAAAAAAAAGAAAATGTGATATATACCTGTGCGGACTCAGAAAGCTAATCAGAAACTCAAAAGAATGCAACTATTTGTGTCTCACCTATCGGTGACCTGGAAGCCCCCTCCCTGCTTCAAGTCTTTCTGCCTTTGCTTCAAGTTGTCCTGCCTTTCCAGACCGAACCAATGTACTTCTTACTTACATTGATTAATGTCTCATGTCTCCCTAAAATGTGTAAAACCACATGCCCAACCACACTGGGCACATGTCATCAGGACTTCTTGAGGCTGTGTCATGGGAGCATCCTCAACCTTGGCAAAATAAACTTTCTATATTGCCTGAGACCTGTCTCAGGTTTTGATTCTGAGGGCCCAAGATATTTTCCTTTCACACATGCGATGGAATATTATTCAGCCTTTAAAAATAATAACCTCCTGTCATATGCTACAACATGGATGAATTTTGAACAGCATGCTAAATAAGGTAAGCCACTCACAGAATGGCAAATACTATCTAATTCCACATACAAGTGATACATAATTATCTAAATAGTCAAACTCATAGAAACAGAAAGTAGAATGGCGGCTGCCAGGGGCTGGGGGAGGGAAAATGGGAAATGGGAGTTGCTGTTCAATGGATAGAGTTACAGTTATGCAAGGTGCAATTCTACAGATTAGCTATGAGCAATTTTCTTTTCTTTTTTTTTTTTTTTTTTTGAGATGGAGTTTCGCTCTTGTTACCCAGGCTGGAGTGCAATGGCACAATCTCGGCTCACCGCAACCTCCATCTCCTGGGTTCAGGCGATTCTCCTGCCTCAGCCTCCTGAGTAGCTGGGATTACAGGCACGTGCCACCATGCCCAGCTAATTTTTTGTATTTTTAGTAGAGACGGGGTTTCACCATGTTGACCAGGATGGTCTCGATCTCTTGACCTCGTGATCCACCCACCTCGGCCTCCCAAAGTGCTGGGATTACAGGCTTGAGCCACCGCGCCCGGCCAGAGCAATTTTCTTATAGTTAACAATGCTGTACTGTACACTTAAACACTTGTTAAGAGGATAGATCTCATGTTACGTTTTTTACCATTTTTTTTAAATGGACAAAAGACATTACAAGCATTTTATAAAAGATTTCAAACTAAGCAATAAATATATGTAAGACGATCAGCCATATTAGTCATTAGGTAAATGCAACTTAAAATAACAATGAGATACCACTGCTCATCCACCAGATTTGGTGCGGGGGGAAGTGTGGTGGACGGACCAAAAAAACTTTACAAAGTCTGTGTTGATGAGAATGTAGAGCTGTAACCATAGCTCTCACACTCTGACGGTGGCAGTATAAATTGGTACAATCATTATGAAAATGTTTGATTTTCAAGTATATATATTTCAATATATATATAAACATATTCCTACCTCTATCTTTACTACCTGGCATGTCTCTGCAAAATAAATCCCTATATCTCTCCAGAAAGACACTATCTCTAGCTTTTCAAAGTTGTTAAAACAGGTTTGGACTCTGCAGAAAAGCAGGAAGTCCATGGAGAGTTATCTTCCAAAATCTGAGTTTAGCAACCTGTTAAATATTCAGGGATAAATGGGCAAAACAAGCAACACCGGCTGTCACTGACGAAGCACTTACTATGTTCTGGCACAAATTGTGTGATAAGGTTTGAAGAGTGATTATTGATCACCCTCTTAAATCCCCTTTGAGTGTGGAGCTAATTTGGAAAATAAAACAAGAATCGAAAACCTTAATGGAGGTAAAGCCCATGGGAAAGTTTGACCAAATAGGATTCCTATTAGATTCTACAACTGAACCTACTCCCTTAGTCACAGACAGGGCGGGGAGACCTCCCACCTGCTGAAGGGGCAGGGCAGCTCAGGCAAGACGGAAGAGAAGGGTGAAGAGACCATTCAGAAAAGAACAGCTTTGCAGGGGCTGAGAAAATCATGTTAAGCTTGCCTTTCGAAACTCATCCATCAGAGGGGTCACTTCTCCCATGAGGAGGCAGGAGTAAGAAAACAGCCAAAAGCCTGCAATATTCCTCCACAGTTTTCCTTTCCAGGGCTTGGACCAGAACAAGGTGACTTGTTCTGGTCACCTAGAACAAGGGGCATGGCCAAGGTGGTATTTGTCCACGTGGCTTTGGCCAGATTGTTTCAGCTTAAATGCAAATAACTTGATTCTGCTACTAGATGTACTGGCTGCAATGCCCTCCTGACACAGCAAAGTGTAAGAAGGTTATTGTCCTTGCAGAGGAGAATGGGCATCAGAAGGAACTGGTGCTAATCTCACCTCCACCATTTACTCAGTTTTCTCCTCTAATACATCTAATAACGATCCCTACCTTGTGTCTAGATAATGAAATACAGTCAGCCCTTCATATCTATGGGTTCCCAACCAACCACAGGCTGAAAATATTGGAAGAAGAAGAAGGGAAAAAAAAAAATCTGGACGCAGTAGTTCACCTCCAAAAGTAATCCAGCACTTTTGGAGGCTGAGACAGGAGGATCACCCGAGCCTGGGAAGTTGAGGCTGCAGTGAGCTGTGATTGTGCCACTGCACCCCAGCCTGGGTGGACAGAGCAAGACTCTTCCTCAGAAAAATAAAAAATGATAAAGGATAATTGCATCTGTACTGAACATATACAGGCTTTTTTCTTGTTCTATTCCCTAACAATACAGTAAACAACAATTTATGTAGTATTTACATTGTATTAGGCATTGTGTAAGCAATTTAGAGATTAAAGGAGAATGTGCATGGGTTATATGCGAATGCTGCACCAGTTTTTATAAAGGAGTTGAGCATCTCTGGATTTTGGTATCCACGGGGGTCCTGGAACCAATACCCCTCGGATACCAAGGGACTACTGTATAGCGTTTGCTCCATGCCACGCACTGTTCTAAGCCTCTTCAAATATTAATCGTTTAATCGTCCCATCCATCACCGTACGAGGTAAACATTACCTTTGTCAGCTAACGAAGGAAATGGGCAGTGAGAGGTTAAGTGGCTTGACAGGTCCCACAGCTGTTGAGCTAAGGCGCCTATCGCGCTGGGATTTTAACGCCCACCCTCTGGCTGCGCAACCTGTGTCATCCTGCAGGAAACGAAGCCATCCCCGGACCTGGCGCGCGAGGAAGACTCCGCAGGATGCGCGGCGTGTGCGCGGAACCTGGTCTTCTACGAGCCTGGACTTCCGAGCGTGGCGCGCGGCTGCAGGGATTGATTCTCCGGGAATCGTGCCGGGGACCGCGCCCGGGAATCCTGCGGGGGTGGGAGGGGGGCTCGGGCTCCGCGCCTCCGCCGCAGGGGGGCGCTGCGGGGCTCCCCGGCGCTGGCGCTGCTGGCCGCCCCCGCGGCTGGGCGTGCCGCCTGCAAGATGTCCGTGCGCCGCGGCCGGCGGCCGGCGCGGCCCGGGACCCGCCTCTCCTGGCTGCTGTGCTGCAGCGCCCTGCTGTCCCCGGCCGCGGGCTACGTGATCGTGAGCTCCGTGTCCTGGGCCGTCACCAACGAGGTGGACGAGGAGCTGGACAGCGCCTCCACCGAGGAGGCTATGCCCGCGCTGCTGGAGGACTCGGGCAGCATCTGGCAGCAGAGCTTCCCCGCCTCGGCTCACAAGGAGGACGCGCACCTGCGGCCCCGGGCGGGCGCCGCGCGCGCCAGGCCGCCCCCCGCGCCGCCCGGGATGTTCTCCTACCGGCGTCAGGGCGGCCAGGCAGGCGGTGCCTCCCCGGCCCCGAGGCTGCGAGCCGCCACCGCCCGCTCCCTGGCCCACGCCAGCGCCTGGGGCTGCCTGGCCACCGTGTCCGCCCACGAGAAGGTAAGCGCCTGGCGGCGAGCGCGAGGGGGCTTGGCATTCAGTCGGCGGCCAGGGAACGGGGACGTGCTCACGACCGCTCGGGACTGGGATCCGGGTCCACCAGACGTGCCCCGTGCGCTGGATGGGACCCTCGACACTGTGCATAATGCAAGGCGATGGTGCCTCCGTGAGCCTGGCGAAGTCGGGGGAGGTTTGGAGAGGGACGTAGACAACCAGGCTTCCTGCCAGGTAGGGTTGGGTACCGAATCCCCGCCTAGAGATGGCCAGGCAGAGAGACGGACACCTAACCAGCGTCTGACCCAGACCTGAACCAAAGCAGCCAGAGCCGCCTTGGAATCTCAGAGTAGGCGGGGACAGCCCTTCCCAGCGCAGGGCACAGACCCATAGACCCGAACTCCCCGTCACCTCCCGACCTGGACCTGGAGACGGGGACAGAGACAGCACCAAGGCTTCTTTGGAAATCTACCTTTAAGAAAATGGAGCTCAAGATTTTTTTCTGGAAAGGAGATTTATTATGCAAAGTGTGTAAAACCTGGAATAAGCTATCCGCTGCACTTTTTATCTTCAGTTCGGAAAGCCTTTACTCACCTGTTAGACATGATTCCACGTAGAATGACATGGACAAGTAATGCGCATGTAACGTCCATGCCTCCAGAAAGCTTTTAGGGGTGTTAAGAGAGATAAAAGAGCTACAGGGCAGTAACGTGAACTCCTATTTACTTCCTACAAAAACAGAATTAGTATTTTATAGAATGCATAGGACATTGGCCAGGTTCTGGCCCCAGCTCTGGGTCTCACCAAGACTGTGGCCGAGTCACTGGCTTCTCCACTTTGCTTTCCTCATCGGTAAAATTAGGTGGTTAACCAGGCAATTTTTAAGGTCCTTTTTTTTGGCTTAAAACTTCCTAAATGGCAACTTTATTTCGATGTTGGCAATGGTCTTAACCTCTTCAGTGTCAAATGCAGATCCAGTTGGATATTCTCAGCACCCAAATGATTTTCACAGCTGTATTTTGCACTCCTAAGACACATCTTAAAAAGACAAAGGTTAAAGATGATACTAATCTTGGTTGAAAACACAAATCTTTTCAAGAAATTAAAAGTCTAGTGCCAATGTATTGGAGATATTTTGACTTTCAACATTTCTTCTCTTAGCTTTGTTAGGAGTTCCTCTTTCTAATCCTTATTGACATTTAATCTAAACAATAAATTCAGAAAACATTTACAATGTACTGCCATGTATGCAAAGCATGACTCTGGGCAGCTATGTCAAGCTGAAAAATGGGATATATGAATGAAGTTATATTACCATTTTGGAAGATTCCTTAACATTTCCTGTTCTTAAAAAATTGAAGCCCTGCCTTTTATAATTCTACACACCATTCTCAAACAACCCTTCAAGAACAAAGATAACTCCTGGATTCTGAGCTAAGTAACAACAAGGTGCACTTCGTTAGGAATGAAATCATGGGAAATTGGGATGTTTGGCAGGATTTGGGAAAACCTAAGCACTAAATATTTTTGTTGGCCAGGCGCAGTGACTCACACCTGTAATTCCAACACTTTAGGAGGCCAAGGAGGGCAGATCATTTGAGGTCAGGAGTTCAATACTAGCCTGGCCAGCATGGTGAAACCTTGTCTCTACTAAAAACACAAAAATTAACCAGGTGTGGTGGCACACACCTGTACTGCCACCACCTGGGGAGGCTGAAGCACAAGAGTCACTTAACCCAGGAGGCAGAGGCTACAGTGAGCCAAAATTGCACCACTGAATACCAGCCTGGGCAACAGAGTGAGACTCTGTTTCAAAAAATAATAATAATAATAAATAAATATTTTTGTTTATATCTGCAATCACAGAAACATGATATACCACCTGTCTTAGTCCATTTGTATTGCTATAAACAATTACCTGAGGCTGGGTAATTTATAACGAAAAGAAGTGTATTTGGCTCACAGTTCTGCAGGCTGTTCAGAAAGCATGGCGCAGCATCTGCCTCTGGGGAGGCCTCAGGCTGCTTCCACTCATGGTGGAAGGTGAAGAGGAGCCAGTGTGTGCAGAGATCACATGGCGAGAGAGAGAGCAAGAGAGAGGGGAAGGTGCCAGGCTCTTTTTATTTTTATTTATTTATTCCCAGGCTGGAGTGCAATAATGCAGTCATAGCTCACTGCTGCCTCAGACTCCTGGGCTCAGGCATCCCTCCTTCCTCAGCCTTCCAAGTAACTGGGCCTACAGGTGTGTGCCACCATGCCAAGCTACTATTAAAAAAAAAAAACTTTTTGTAGAGATGGGGGTCTTGCCATCGTGCCCGGGGTGATCTTGAACTGTTGGTCTCAAGGGATCCTTCTGCCTTGGCCTCCCAAAGTGCTGGGATTACAGGGTGAACCCCCACACCCAGCTGGCACCGCCTTTTTTAAACAACCATCTCTCAGGGGAGCTCTTAAGGAACTAACAGAGGGACAATTCATTCATTACCGCGAGGAGGGCACCAAGCCATTCATGAGGGATCCACTCCCATGACCCAAACACTTCCCACTGGGCCTCCCCTCCAACACTGGGGATCAGATTTTAACATGAGGTTTGGAGGGAAAGATATCCAAACTGTAGCACCATCGTTCTCCCACCCTACTGCATGATCATGAAGAAAAATTGGCATATCATGTTTCTGTGACTTCCTTTATACAAAATGGTTAACAAATCAATTTCTGATAACTTGCTGGGTCATACAATGAATATTGTTGATTACAATTTTTAAAATGCAGCTAATAAATGAGGAAGTGATGTAGCCCTAAAAGAAACAATAAAAGAAAGTTCCTGAAGTCCAAAGAGCAGGCAAGTCGTTAAAGACTTAAATTTCCTCCCTAAAGTTGCTAAAAACATGGGAGCGGCAGCCAACCTTGGGAGCGAAGGCAGTGGGACTGTAACGGGCAGCTTGTGGGAAAGGCTTAGTGCCATCCCCCATAAATGTCATTGTTCCTCCCCTAACATGAAATTTTAAAAGTGAATATATATTTGCCATGCACAGGCAGCTTCAAGAAGAACCCTTTCACCACCCCTTCCAAACAGAATGCCATTGCTAAGCATCTCCTGTAGAGGAATTCTAGAGCCACCACAGAGTGAATTGGGCAGACTGGGGACCACCTTACCTTGATTTACTATCTGTCAAAGCCACTGTGATGCCATGATCCCCCCTCCTCCCTGGTACTGTATTTTCTAGCCAGAGGCATAAGCTAAGCTCCCCATAGTTCAAGTCAAGCCACAACTCAGCACTGGAAAAGCTTTTTTTGGTGTTTGTTAGATCCAAGGACTGCCATTTGGGAACTGCCTGCCCATCAGTGACGGCCCCTTCAACAATAGCACTGGGATTCCTTTCTTCTACATGACAGCCAAGGACCCCGTGGTGGCCGATCTGATGAAGAACCCCATGGCCTCGCTGACGCTGCCGGAATCAGAAGGGGAGTTCTGCAGGTAGACGAGGGTTTGCCCTCACTCGCATGGGTCCTGGGAAATTTTTGACAGAGAGTTGGGCATGGATTTCTCTCTGGGTCACATGACTTTAACAGACCTCTAAGATGCACGTCGACGTTCACTCTTGAAATCAGATCAATTAGAATTCCACCACTCACCAAGCAGTGTGATTTGTAGCAAGTTACTTAGCCTCTAGGAGCCTCAGTTTCTTCATCTGTAAAATGGGAATAATAATCATTGCCTCCGAGGGTTATTGCAAGTGTTGGATAACCCTTGCAAAATGCTTTGTGCAGCACTGGCAGGAGTCTAGACAGCTCCTGTTAGTATGGAAAAGGGCTAGAGTAGGAGCGAGGGTCAGTAAAGGAAGAGCCAGTAGTTCATCTCCCCAGCACAGAGCCATGCAACACGGAGTCTATTTACTGTCTTTCCAATTTATTTCTATCCTGTCCTCAGAGATATGTGCAATAAAGAGCCAGCATTTTTAAATATATCTTTTCAAAAACTCTCTGAAAGAAAATGTTTCTAAAGACATTTAAGCACTAACAGAACACTGATCCAGGCCCCTTTGTCTGAATTCAAACTGCAAAGCCTGAACTCGTATTCTCCCAGGGAGATGTCTGCGTGGAGCTGGTATGGGGGCTGCATGTGACATCCCCTTATCCTTCCCAGAGGAGCAGCAAATGCCCAGGGTGGCCTGGGGTGAGCCCTTTGACCTCCAGGACCTAAACCACTCCACCTAAATGTAGTGATGCTTTAGAAAATCAACAGGCCACGGTAGGGCTCGGTGACTCACCTGTAATCCCAGCACTTTGGGAGACCGAGGCGGGTGGATCACGAGGTCAGGAGTTCTAGATCAGCCTGGTCAACATGGTGAAACCCTGTCTTTACTTAAAATACAAAAATGAGCCGGGCATGGTGGCAGGTGTCTGTAATCCCAGCTACTCGGGAGGCTGAGGCAGGAGAATCTCTTGAATCTGGGAGGCCAATGTTGCAATGAGTTGAGATTGTGTATTTACACTCCAACCTGGGCAATAGAGTGAGACTCCATCTCAAAAAAAGAAAAAAAAAAAGAAAGAAAGAAAAGAAAATCAAGAGGCCTCATCCCTCCTCTGAAATTCTCTTATTCTTTATGCACAGCACAGAAAACATAATAACCAAACAATATATTAGTTCTTACAGAGGCTAATCAAAGCAACTATACAAGCAAGGTGCTGCCTGGGTAAGCCATTGTTTCCCTTCAGCCATGATAGACCATGTGGGGATACTCCAGCTGACCCTGTTCCCCGCCAGGTTACAGCAAGAAGCCAGGAAAAGAAATGTTTCCTTTTTCATGGAATATTCTCCCTGTTCTTGGTCAGTCAAGCTTGCTGTTACTAGAAGTGTATTTCTAGGATTATGTTTTTTTTGTTTTTTGGGTTTTTTTAAGACAGAGTTTCACTCTTGTTTCCTAGCCTGGTGTGCAGTGGCATGATCTCAGCTCACTGCAACCTTGAACCTCTACCTCCCGGGTTCAAGCAATTCTCCCTGCCTCAGCCTACCAAGTAGCTGGGATTATAGGCACCTGCCACCACGCCTGGATAATTTTTATATTTTTAGTAGAGATGGGGTTTTGCCATATTGGCCAAGCTGGTCTTGAACTCCTGACCTCAGGTGATCCACCTGCCTCCGCCTTCCAATCCAGGATACCTTTCTAAGCTTCTCAGGCTTTCCTCATTCAGGTATCCTGAAAGCAGTCGTGCTGAAGCGTGTGGCTCCCAGAACCCAGAGCACAACCACTCTGGGGACAGGCGACAGAATACATGCCTGGGACAAAGCGGCAGCAGCACTCCAGCTTAGGGAGGTTTTGTCAACTGGCAACCCCCAGGCAGACGGCAACAGGAGCTGGAGCTAGGAGCAGTGAGAAATCTGACTTAGGAGAGGTCCTCACAAGGGAGAGGGTCTCAGGGGGACTTCCTTCAGCCCCCGGGGAAGATTGCCTGCATGGTCTAGAGCCACCTATGTGGACGGTCTTCATGCCAGGCCACATGTGGGACGCGCAAACACCTGTGCAGCCCGCCAACTCACTGGGTGAGGCAGTTCATGGCTGGAGGTGAGCACGCCAGGGCCAAGGGCAGGAGCACACCTGTTCCTCTGTCCTGGGAGAGGAAGGAAGAGACACATTCGTGGGTACCCCTTAGTTTATATCTTCATGTAAAGCTGTTTCTCAGAACTGCTGAACACCCAACACTGGTTAAGCTTCTGAAGTATTGAAATATGATATAAATAAATACCTATAAAACCAAGTTTTGCCTTAGTAAGCCTCATACTTCAATGCAAAGGTTACCCAGCAATGGGGCTTTTGCTGTCACCCTAGGGTCTACGACTTCCCATAATTGGCGTAAGCCCAGACGTGACTCACCTGTGTGAGATTCACATTCCAGGTAGAGCATTACATTTTAGATTTCACCTTCAGAATCTCGGTAATGTTGAACACAGGGACTTAACAAGTCAAAGTCATGTGGCCTGCATTGAAAAAGAATAAACAAGCCAAGCAGGGGCTCCTAGGGCCACCGAGGCATCTGGTAGAAGTGTCCACAGCTACCCAAACACCTGAGGGAGTTTTGAAGGACAGCCAGGCAAGGTACCAGCAGGGGGCCCCCTCCTGCCTGCCCCCGGGCCTGAAGACGTCACCAGCAAAGGCAGAGCTCATCGTCAGGTGCTTCAGAGCTTCACAGCTTGAATCTCCCACAGGAGGGAGGAGATTCAAAAAGATGTCCATGTCTTATGATGATAATGAAAGGTCAAGGCCACCTGATCCTCTCAGCTTCAGAAGGTATCTCATACTCAGAAAAGTGAAAACTACCTTCCATCCTGTGTATGGAAAATTTGCAACAGCATTTGTTACCATCCCATGTGGCGCCTTCTGGGGGCTCCTACTCCTCTGCTGGTCTGTGCAGTGGGGAGGGCGTGGGTTATCCCTCTTTCATCCCAAGGGGGAAGACAAAGCCAGAACTAGACTCTACTGGTCTGTAAAACAAGTCCTGATAGGGAGGAAGTCGGGAGGCCACTGACCTCTGAGAAAGGAAAGGGGGTGCCTTCACAGTCATTTCCTACAGACCACTGGGCATCTCTGGGAGAGGGGGTATTTCAGCGGCAAGCCTGCCTCTGCGTTCATCAGGTTAGCCCCATTTACTGAAGACTCTGCACTGGCATGGGCTGGTGAGTGCCACTCCACCAAGGACACAGCCCAGGAGCAAGTTGCTCCAACAACTGGGGCAAGAACAACTTAGGCTTTGGGAGGGAGGAAAGCAAGTCTGAGACTATTGAGAGGCTGTCAGAGCTCCCTTTGGTGCCAACAATTGTGTCTATAATGTGTACGCGTTTAATAAGCAGATACATAAATGGAAAGATCGATTATACATAGATAATAGGTAGATAATTGATAGAAGATAGATAGATTATAGATAGATAAGAGATAGATGGATGATGGATGGATGAATAGATGATGGATGGATCGGTGAATAGATAGGTAGATGGATGATGGATGAATAGATAGATGAATAGGTAGAAATCTGACTTAGGGGAGGATGATAGATGGATGATGAATAGATGAATGGATGGATGAATAGATACATAGATGATGGATGGATGGATAGATGAATAGATAGATAGATAGAAGCTTTTACACATTTCAACTGTTCTCTATTCAAAAGAGCAAATATTGGCCAGGCAGGGTGGCTCACACCTGTCATCCCAGCACTTTGGGAGGCTGAGGCGGGTGGATCACAAGGTCAGGCATTCAAGACCAGCCTGGCCAAGATGGTGAAACCCCATCTCTACTAAAAATACAAAAATTAGCTTGCCATGGTGGCGGGCACCTATAGTCCCAGCTACTCGGCAGGCTGAGGCAGGGAATTGCTTGAACCTAGAGGGTGGAGGTTGCAGTGAGCCGAGATCATGCCATTGCATTCCAGCCTGGGCAACAAGAGCAAAACTCTATCTCAAAAAAAAAAAAAAAAAGAGCAAATATTACAGTTGCCCCTACTTGGTCTCCCCAATCCACTCTTCATCACCTTGAATTCATCCTTATTCCAGCAGCTGAGGTATTGTCTTAAAATCCACATCAGATCCTGAGGAAAAGCAGCAGAATCCTTAATATGGTCTAGGAGGTCCTTCACAGCCAGGCACCTGCTTCCCTCTAAGAATAAATAATAGTGTCTGCCTCTTAACTGATTGACTTAATATTTGATTTATACCTAGTTTTATCAAATTAAAAGCATTAACCTGATAGCTTGTTGTAGTCAAAGCTGACATATGTTCTTTGGCATCGAGCTAAGAAAATGCTTTTCCATTAGTAATCCCCGCATGTAGGTTAACAAGTCATATCCCTCAAAAGTGATATTTAGATCCATTAACAGACCTGTGTCTTAAAGATAAAGTTAGATCCAAGTCAAAATAGGTGAAGGACATTGAGTATCCATGGCCTCAAGAGTCTCAGGAAATTTAATGAAGAAAATGCCCAGTAGGGCCGGGCGAGATGGCTCACGCCTATAATCCCAGCACTTTGGAAAGCTAAGGGGGACAGATCACGAGGTCAAGAGATTGAGACCCTCCTGGCTAACATGGTGAAACCCTTTTCTGCTAAAAATACGAAAATTAACTGAGCATGGTGGCGTGCACCTATAATCCCAGCTATTCAGGAGGCTGAGGCAAGAGAATCGCTTGAACCTGGGAGTTGGAGGTTGCAGTGAGCCAAGATCGCGCCACTGCACTCCAGCCTGGTTACAGAGTGGCTCTGTCAAAAAAAAAAAAAAAAAAAAAAAAAGCCCAGCAGATGTAATTTTCTTAACCACAGCCATGAGAAGGCAATATCTTGAGAATGATGAAAGGAATGAATATCTCTTCATATTTTACAGCTTTCTAGGGACCTTCAAGAGTTTTTAAATGAATCTGTCAAGATCAGCCTGGGCTAGTTCATCACACCCTGTTAGGGAATTTTTCCAGATCTTTTCGTTTCCCTG